GTGGACCAGGCCGAGCTCTCTGCGGGCTTTGATGATGAGAGAGTGGAGGAGGGTTTCGGGGCCGAAGGCGAGGCGGATCATCTCCTTGTCGCCGCGGTCCTGGAGCAGGAGGAGGCCCATGATCTTGGCTGCGTGGTCGGGGTCCAGGGCTTGGATGCGGCTGAAGACTAAGCGGTTCGCCTCGTAGGCATCCATTGAAGGAGAAGAGGGGAAAGTGAGAGAGGGGGAACGGAAAGAGAGAGTATTTGTGAAGGGTGGGTATTTTTTTTTTCTTTCTTTGTAGAGGGAGAGGCGAGAGAACTAAAACCCTAATGCGTCTTGTTTTCTTCTTTCTTTTGGTTTTGTGCAATTAATTTGAATGCTGTATTTGTTTGCTCACTTGCATTGTGGCCAAAACCAAGTGAAAAAAAGAAAAAGAATTTGATGTTTCTCACTTCTGGTTTTGTTTTCTTGTTGAGAGCCTCTTATTTACTTATCTTTCGGGGCCATGGTAACTAATGCTAGCTCTCTGTGCTATTCTCAATGACGTTGCTTTCTCTCTAGCTACAACGTCTTTGACCAGCTTCTCGGGCCTTTGAGAAACTGTGAAAAAACTAATTAATTAGCAATGAATGAGATCCATTGAATACTTGGGTTCTTTTGGTTTAGGCTATTTTGAAGTGAAAAAGGTTGTAAGTTACCAAATTGTGTTGTATATACTTACCTTTGTCTACTTTTCTTTGGTTTGTCGCATCCTCTAAACCAAGGATACATGCAGATCTCGCACTCGCTACCATAAATGTTCAACTTAATGGGGAATTTAGTCTCCCCGCCTACTGCAATCTGCACAACTCGGAAGCTAACCACAATCAATAAGATATAAAATAACCACAATTAAGAAGCAATAACACCGATATTTACGTGGTTCGGTCGACCAACTTCGACCTATGTCCACTGGGCAACAATACAAGAAATCCACTATATATGTATCAGGGTGAACTACGAGAGGAACCACTCAACTCTCGTCTCTCAATCTCTCAGCCTCACATACATAATCAACTCTCATATTCTTTTCAAAACCCACTCCTTAAAATCTTTTAAATGGATAAAGACTGCGAAACCCTCTTCAAATGTTGTAATCTTTTACACGGATAAAGACCACGAAACCCTCGCATCTTGCACAATTTCTTGAATCAGGCTACGCTCTCTGCTAACTCTAGATTATAAGAATATTGGCTCTCTCGTTTCTCCTTGTTTTCCCCTCCAACAATAGAAGAATATATATAGAAAAATCAAAACCCTATCTCTAGCCCAACTTCCTAATTAGAATAGGATTGAAACTCCTAATAATGATAAGACCCAATCTCATATGAAACTCCTAATCATGATAAGACCCAATCTCCTAATCATGATAAATCTCTAACCATATCTAATTCTTATGAAATTATACAAAGAATCAAAGCCACAATCCTAACAATCTCTATCTTGGATTTGATTCCCAAGCCACCTCGAAGATCTACAATTGCCGTCTTGAAACTTTACCTCTTCTGCTAGTGTCTTCTATTCCTTTCGCACTTCAAATCGAAGCACCTGCACTCCAACTGGGACGTCCCTGTTAGCCCTCAAGTTCTAGGATTTGCAACCTCTCCCTAGGCTTTACTACCGACTCTACTCCTCTTGGAATCGATCCCATCTCTCACCACACACTCTTCTTGGTGTACAAGTGTATTGCAAAGTGATCTCACAAATAAAGCTTAATATAAGATTTGTTCTCTACAATAGATGAGAACTCAATGTAAGCTCACACTCTAAGAAACATGTCACAACCTCAAAAATACTATGTATGAAATACTAAAAGCTCAATAGGTTGTGTGTGTAAACAAAGAGTAAAATCAAATATAAATGTATGAAATACTAAAAGCTCAATAGGTTGTGTGTGTAAACAAAGAGTAAAATCAAATATAAACTCAATTAAAGTCTAGCTTATGAGCTCAATAGGTTGTGTGTGTAAACAAAGAGTAAAATCAAATATAAACTCAATTAAAGTCTAGCTTATGGGAATGATAATCAAACATATAAATAGCTAGAGATTGAGTTTGGAAAAATTCTCCAATGATAACAAGAGTGAAAGAGATGAGATGAAAGCTCAAACACGAATGGATGATCTCTTCTTCCTCTTATGAAAATCTCTTAAAAAACTTGTAAACACACTTAAACCAAATTTAAACACCCTTAGACTTATTTTTAATACTCTCTTGGTTGTTAAAAATAGTTATAACAAAGGGGTATATATAGGGTGGAAGAAACCAGCCCAAGAAAACACCAAAAACCCATAAAAATAATAAAATAAATAAAAATTAGAAACTAGTCGTTACTATGCAACTAGTTCACAAGTCGACTTATAAGTTGACTTGTCTGATATAAGTCGACTTGTATGAGCTGCAAGTCAACTTAGTAGACGAAAACAACAAACTGCACAACAAATTATAAGTCGACTTATCATAAGTCGACGTGCTGGTTATATAAGTCGACTCAGCAGATAAAAACTATAATTTTCAGAACAGTTCATAAGTCGACTTGCTATAGTACATAAGTCGACTTATAAACATGCACATGCACATGCACTGTTCATGTATGAAATATGATTTTTGAAGTGCCTTAAAAAATAACAAATAAATTCTAAAAAATATAAAACTTCGGAAAATGATTATAAACATGAAAATGAACATGCTACAAAAAGAAATTTTCAAATTGCATCTTCCAATTGTGAAAATACTTTATTTTGCAAAATAGGTCAAAAATATGAAATGTCAATACATACTTGTTTTTGACATTTTGACTTAAACAAAAAGAATTTTTTAAATTCACACTTGTAACTACACAATACCACCTCAAGTGTTGGCCTCATCTAGTGTTTGAGTCAAAATGTGTCATTTGAAAATTCTTTTTGTTTAAGTCAAAATGTCAAAAACAAGTGTATGTTGACATTTTATATTTTAACCTATTTTAAAAAATGAAGAGTTTTCACAATTAGGAGATGAAATTTGAAAAAATCTTTTTGAAATATATTAATTTTTATGTTTATAATCATTTTCTAAAGTTTTATATTTTTTAGAATTTATTTGCTATTTTTTAAGGCACTTCAAAAATCAGATTTCATACATGAATAGTGTCTGTGTATGTTTATAAGTCAACTTATGTATTGTAGCAAGTCGACTTATGAACTGTTCTAAAAATTATAGTTTTTATCTGCTGAGTCGACTTATATACCCAGCAAGTCGACTTATGATAAGTCGACATATGCCATTTGCGGGAATGACAGTGTCGGCTATCAGAGGTAATCGTTAACGTGATAGGAATTGTCGTGATCGGAGTGACTTTGAGGACTTACTATCCTATTGAAGAGGATTGGTAAGTTGATTTCGTCAGAGGTGAGGGTTAACAGAGGACTTACTATCCTATTGAAGAGGATTGGTAAGTTGATTTCGTCAGAGGTGAGGGTTAACATAACATTGGGAGTTCGTCCCATCGTCCTATTGAAGAGGATCAACGGGGAAAATTTGGAGGAGACTATCAGAGGTGATTTTTAACATGATAGATTTAAGTGGGCCCGTCGTCCTATTGAAGAGGATCGACGGGGAAAATTATAGGATATGAGGAAGTGGTCTCCATCACCAAGGCATCTTGGTCATCATCTCCTCGAAACCCATGCGGTTCTTCGTCACCCATACGCTTGAGCATGCTCTCGACTCGTTCTCCTTAGCGGAGTAAGTCTTTCCATAAGCGAGCTTCAACAACGCCCATATTAGACAGAACGTCGATGGAGAGATTATTCCGGTACATCTGGATGAGAGTGGCCTTGGAAACCCATTCGCGGGAATGCGGCGATCGGTTTCTGAATCTCTTGACAAAGCTGTTCATAGACTCTGTCTTCCTCTGCTTCACAGCTAACATGGTGGCCATAGATACTTCTGTGTTATCATCAAAGAATCTGGCCATGAAGAGCCTTTCCGTGTCCTTCCAGCAGGTGATGGACCCAGGCTCCAATCTGCGAAACCATTCAAAAGCGACCCCTTTGAGGGTACCAATGAACAGTCGAGTCATAATGGGATCGTTTCCTACTATGTGTCCAGTTTGCGCTTGGAAGTAGTAAACGTGCTGGGTAGGAGAACCCTTGCCATTGAACTGTAGGAGGTCTAGTGGCTCGAACTCCGCTGGGTAGGAGACCGTATCCCATTCAATTGGATACGGTCTGACAACCCCCAGCTTGTTCATGTGCTTCTGGAGCTTCAAGGCGTCGAGTTGACTTTGGAACTCGTCGAGCCTTTTGTCCCTATGATTATGATCCGAAGACGACGCTCCTCTAGATGACTCGGATGAGGAGTGGGAAGGAGTAGGCACCCGCTCTCTGTGCTTCAAGGATTTACGCGAAGCCTGCGAAGTCCTAACTCTTTTCTTCTTCTTCTTCTCGCTCAGAAGCTGCTCCAACATCTCCTTCAAGGATTTGATGGTTGCTTGTTGCTCGTCGAATCTCCTGGATATCTCATTAGGGATGTCGGTCATGTGCACCATTTTTGCTCTTGCTCGCCCTGCAACTAAAGCCTTGAAGCTGTGAACGTTGCCACTTACCGCAGGCCAATTCGTCGTATCTTGTCGTCGTCAGAGATAGACATCATGCGCGTGTTAGTGAATGGAGTGGCCACCCCCGTTTGCGCGAGTGTGTTAGGCGAGGTTCAGGCTGGCGAGCGTTCGTCCGTCAGCGCGATATTGGTGTAAGTGCAGCCTGCTCTGCGCGAGCTGCTGCTTTGCCTTTTCTGGCGGCACTTGGTCCGCTCAGGCAAGCTTGGTGCAAGTCCTCTTTGAACTTGCACAGTTCCGCAGATGCTCTTGCGTTCTCCAAAATTGAGCTCCTTGCCTCATAGAGTGGCGGCTCGCCCAAAGGCTACACTGATTTGAGCTCGTTTCTCCATAACTGGGAACTTGACTCATGAAGTGGGGCTCGCTTAAACCGTTAGGCCTATGCCTGATTTGAGCCGCGTTGGCCATAATTAGGAACCTGGCCCTCAATGAAGTGGCGCTCGCCTGCACCGTTAGGCTTTCGCCTGAACCGTAGAGCTCGCCTGATTTGAGCGGTTCGCCATTAATTGGAGGACCTCGCTCATGGAAGTGGGGGCTCGTCTAACTGGTTAGGCCTCACCTGATTGAGCTCCTTCACCATAATTGGGAACCTGGCTCACTTGTTTGGCTCTTCTCAGGCCTAAATAGTAATTCAGGCCGTCATAGGAGATGAGGGATTGCGCCTCCAGACGGGCGAGAGCTTTTCTTCGCCGCTGTTTGGATCTTTTTGAATGATGAGCGTTCATGTCGACGGCGAAGGCGTGGTCTGCGTCGATACGAACGGTTGTTTCCTCTTGCACAGGGGCCTGCGAGGATTGTTCAACGACCCATTCAGCAGGCC